CTATGAGCGCTAATCCCGTGTATCATGCACAGGCGAAGCATATAGATCTTGACATTCACTTTGTCCGAGAGAAGGTAGCTGCAGGACTGCTGAAGATCAACTACATACCAGCTGCACATCAAATAGCAGATGGTTTTACAAAACCTCTCTCAAAGTCAGCTTTTGAGGAGTTTCGTCACAGTATATGTGTGATGCCAGGGGTGTAGAGTCGATTAAGGGAAGAAATGAAAAGAGTAGGGAGAATGTTAGACTATAGCATACTGTGTACATGCATGTATTATAGCATGGCTTTGGCAATCAGTTAGTTTAGGCGCCAAATATTGTTAGTCGGTTAAGTGGTTGATAGCTTGACTCTAGCTATAAAGCTAGTATGATTGTAAATGCAACACACGTGAATTCAATACATTTCTATCATATACAGTTTCTTAATACACATTATGCAATGGAGAAGATGAATCACAGTTCGATTCATGGGAAAATGATTAGGGTGGCATGGTCACTTCGAGATCCTGATGCAAGAAAGAGTGGAGTTGGAAACGTGTTTGTCAAGGTACAAAACAAACCCTTTTTGTTCTTTTAACTGATATAATCTGAAATTCATTGGATTTATTGTACTTTTCTTTTCAGAATCTAAGTGAATCAATCGATAGTGTGGGGTTGCAAGAGTTGTTTCAGAGGTTTGGGAATGTAATATCCTGCAAAGCTGCAACATTTGAGGATGGGAAAAGCAAATGTTATAGATTTGTTCAATTTGAATCTGAAGAATCTGCAACTGCTGCTATTGAGAAGCTTGATAACAACATGATTGGTGATAAACAAGTGTAATATGAATTTTCCTTTAAAATATTTTTCGTTTCACTTATCTGCTAATAAAATGAATGGTTTCAGAAGTTTAATTTGTCTCTTTGGTCCCAGATTTGTTGGGAAATTTATGAAAACGTGTGACAGGATTTTGCCAAGTCCTGATGAAATATACAAATCTGTATATTTTACAAGGGAAAATTGCCTCCCTGGCTGTAGCAAGGGATGAAAATGGTGCCTCGAGAGGTTTCGGCTTTGTGAACTTCGAATGTCCCGATGATGCCAAGCGGGCAATGCAGTCAATGAAAGGATCAAAACTTGGTAGGCTTTCTTTTACTATGTTTCACGAACATGATATTTCAATGATATTTTTTCTGATCCAATATTTTTGGCCAAATATATTCAATCATAATTCAAAGAAAAATATAAATTCAATTAAAATCAAATCATTAGAATCATTTCTAATTTTCTCAAATGTGTATTCAATGGCCGCAATGCAATCATAAGTTCTTGTTGCCCTAGGAGGAGGATGCTGAAGGTGGTGACATTTTCTTTGACCGGAGCAAAGTAGAAGACGATGGCAGTGAGTATGGCAATACATTATTGTTTTTAAATCTACAATACTACAATTCTGGGAAGAACCACAAATTGAATCATTAATCTGATATCAAAGGTGAAGCTAATTAGATTTGCTTTGCTTTTGCTGTTTTGTAATTCACCATCATTGTATTATTAGGGAAACCACGGTAGATGCTGGGCATCTTTCTTTTATGATTTCTACACTGTGAGTTGTGAAGTAGCTTCGAAATTTAAGTGCAAATTTGATTTGAATTTCAACCATTTTGAAGGTTTTAATTATGTTTTTTCAGCTGTAGGTACTGGTTGATCATGGCTTGAACTGAACTTACTTCCTTAGGCTTGTAAATTTATTATCAATTCCTCTGGCTGCAATTACTCAGATCATTTTTCTTATACAAGAAATTAATGTTCTCTTAATATATATATAGATTGATTGATGTGAAACGTAGAAAGTGGTGGGAAGTAGAGCAGGTATGACATGACTCGGTTATGGGGAAAAATATCAACCATAGAAGATAGCCCCGAGTATACGCATTGAACTAAACGTGGAAAATGCAAATCATAGCCAGTAGACACATGACTTTGAAAGAAAACTTGGACCAATTAACGGGAGATAGAATAGGATAATATCAGAATTTGAGAACTAATATTTCATGTTGATGGAAAAAGCCTTCTCAAATACAAATCAATCTCAAATCTAAAACCCAAAAATTTTCCTTCTCATAATTCATCATGTCATTGTTACCTTCAACTTTATCATGTATTTCTAGAAAGAAATACGATGTTTTCTTGAGTTTTAGAGGTGAAGATACCCGTAAAAACTTCACAAATCATCTCTATGATGCTCTAAATCGAAGTGGAATTATCACTTTTAGGTAAAACAACTCTCGCAAGAGTTGTATACAACCAAATGTCATCTCATTTTGAAGGTAAATGCTTCATTGCCGACGTTCGAGAAGTTTCAGACAAATTTGGACTCGTTTCTCTACAGAAACAACTTCTTTTCCAGATCTTGTCTGGTGAAGTCTTCGAATTTTTCAATGTTCATGAAGAGAATGCCATAATTAGCCGCAGATTATCTAACAAAAAGGTCCTTGTTGTGATTGATGATGTGGATAATTTACAGCACTTGAAATGCTTGGTTGGAAGGCATAATTGGTTCGGTTTAGGGAGTAGAATCATTATAACAACAAGAGATGAACACTTGCTCCAATCTTACCGAGTTGACGGTGTGTATAAGCCTTCAACATTGAATGACAGCGAGGCACTTCAACTTTTCAGTTTGAAAGCTTTTGATAGTGAGACAGCACCAAATGATGTTTTCATTCAGCTTTCTGAACATGTTGCAAAATATGCCAGTGGTTTCCCCTTGCTCCAATCTTATACTCGAGTTTAAGTAACATAGTTCTAACACTCTTTGCCTTCATTGATGACATAATTCAATCCAAGTGAGGCCTAACACACTTAGTTTGATGTATGGTTGTATGCTTGTATTCATTAGGTTCAAAGGTTCTATATGTAGCAAGGGCACAAAAGAAAGCGGAACGCGAACAAATATTGCGTAATCAGTACGAGGAACGACGGAAGGAGCAGATCATGAAATACAATCACCACTTCTGTAGATGACAGAGCACCTTCAAATCAGAATCTAGGAATCTTCAACGCGACCGATATGGGTAACTTCTCGAACCATCTTGTTGCAGTTGAGTTCGACACGGTTCAAGATTTTTAGTTTCGAGACATAGACGACAGCCATATCGGTATTGACATAAATAGCTTGCACTCAAATGCTTCAGTCTCTGCCAGTTACTAAACCCAAGGTGGTTCCACAAAGCAAAATCTTACTCTCAAGAGTGGGAAACTAATCCAAGCTTGGATTGATTACGATTCAGTTGAGAACGTCATGAATGTAACGATTGCACCCACATCTAAAAGACCATCTCCCCTCGTCTTTTCATGTAGATCTCTCGCCGTTTCTTCACGAGTTTATGTATGTTGGTTTCTCAGCTTCTACAGGCCATGTTCTTGCCAGCTCTCATTATATTTTAGGGTGGAGCTTTAAGATCAATGGACAATCCCAGGCTCTTGATCTATCGTCGCTACCTTCATTCCCTGGACCACCAAAAAAACATACAACATTAACAGTTGGTGTATCGGTTTCATCTGCTGTTTTCATAATTGCTCTTTCCATTGCAGTTTATGTCATTATCAAAATCAAGAACACAGAAGTAGTTGAAGATTGGGAGCTGGACATTGACGAGGCGGTTTCGGTCGAGTTTACGAAGGAACTCTTGATAAATTCAAACACTCAAGTAGCTGTCAAGCGAGTTTCCCATGAATCAAAGCAAGGTTTACGTGAATTTGTTGCAGAAATTTCTAGTATCAGAAGGCTTCGACAACGGAATTTGGTTCAGCTATTGGGATGGTGCAGGAGAAGAGGCGACCTTCTTCTTGTTTACAATTTCATGGCTAATGGCAGTTTAGATAAGTTTTTGTTTGATGACCCTAAAACTACCTTGAATTGGGACCAGAGATTTAGGATCATAAAGGGTGTGGCTTCTGGTCTTCTCTATTTACACGAAGGATATGAACAAATTGCGATTCATAGGGATGTTAAGGCCAGTAATGTATTATTAGATGATGAGCTGAATGCACGGTTAGGAGATTTCAGCCGTGCAAGATTGTATGAACATGGTTCAAATCCAGGGACAAGTCGAATTGTAGGCACAATGGGATATATAGCACCGGATCTGCCCAAGACAGGAAAGGCCACAACAAGCTCTGATGTCTATGCTTTTGGTGCACTCTTGCTCGAGGTTGCTTGTGGGCGCAGGCCTATTGATCTCAAAGCATTGCCCGGGGAATTAGTGTTGGTTGATTGGGTATGGGAGAAGTTTAGGCAAGGGAGGGTCCTTGATGTGGTAGACACTAGGCTCAATGGCCAATATGATGTAGGTGAGATGATGATGGTGGTTAAGTTAGGCCTAACTTGTTCAAATGACGTGCCTGGGGCAAGGCCAAGCATGAGGAAGTTAGTAAGGTATCTTGATGGAGAGGTTGACTTACCAGAAACTTTGACGCCACCGGCTGCATTTCATGGGGGCGCAGAGGGATTTGACGCCTTTGTGCATTCGTTCTCGTCCTCATCCTCATCCCGTCATTGGATTATATGCAAAATTGTGCAAAAACCTAATCAAAGGGAATAAAAGAAAGTGATTTCTCTCACGAACATGATGTTTCAATGATATTTTTTCTGATCCAATATTTTTGGCCAAATATAATCAATCAGAATTCAAAGAAAAATATGAATTCAATTAAAAACAAATCATCAGAATCATTTCTAATTTTCTCAAATGTGTATTCAATGGCCCCAATGCAATCATAAGTTCTTGTTGCCCTAGGAGGAGGATGCTGATGGTCGTGACATTTTCTTTGACCGGAGCAAAGTAGAAGACGATGGCAGTGAGTATGGCAATACATTATTGTTTTTCAATCTACAATACTACAATTCCGGGAAGAACCACAAATGTCAAATTGCATAAAGAAAAACCCACCACTACTGGGAAAAACAACCATAGGCTTGTAAAGTTTTCTTATGTCTTACTTTTGAATGTTTTTAGGCTACGGAAGTGATTGAAGGCATGATCATTGACAATAAAAGGTAGGAAAACATACATAAACATACATAAACATGCGCCCTTGCTTTTAGGTATGGAATGCTTTGGGATATTTTCAAATTTGAACTGAGTTTTCGTTGTTATACCCTTGGTTATCAGGATATCCAACAAGATGCTCAATTTGAATGTTAATGCTGTCTCGAAGATGAAAAAATTGAGATTGCTCAAAGTCCTTTGCCTCTCAAATTGTGATGAACTCAAATATCTTCCTAATGAGTTACGGCTCTTAGATTGGATGGGATATCCTTTAAGATTCTTACCTCCAAGCTTCCAACCAGACAACCTGGTTGCACTTCTGCTACCATACAGTCGCATTGAACAACTATGGAGGGGAAATATAGTAAGAACTAATTCATATGATCATTGTTTTTTAACTTGTTTTAGGAATATTAACTAAAGCTTCTCTAATTTATTATTATTTTCAGCAGCCCCTGTATAAGTTGAAAGTGCTCAGCCTCAAAGGGTCCGAAAACCTGATCAAGACACCGGACTTTACATCAGCCCCAAATCTGGAAATTTTGATATTGGAGGGTTGTACAAGAATAGTAGATGTTCATCCATCAGTCGGAGTTCTTTCGAGGCTTAAACTTTTGAATTTAAGAAGCTGCACAAGTCTTAGGAATCTTCCAACCAAAATTGGAATAGAATCTCTTGAAACATTAATCCTAAAAGATTGTAAAAACCTTATTAGTCTCCCAAGCAGCATAGGTGGGTGTAAATGTCTAAAAACTCTTGATCTTTCAGGTTGCTATGAAGTTGAAAATTTGCCGGAGAATTTGCAGCAAGTAGAGTTGTTGGAGGAGCTTGACATAAGTGGAACCGCGTTGCGATTCTTGGAACCGCGTTGCGATTTTCTGAATCGCATTGCGATTCTTGGAATCGCGTTGCGATTTTCTGAATCGCATTGCGATTCTTGGAAGATCGCGTTGCGATTTTCTGAATCGCATTGCGATTCTTGGAATCGCGTTGCGATTTTCTGAATCGCATTGCGATTCTTGGAAGATCGCGTTGCGCTTTTCTGAATCGCATTGCGATTCTTGGAATCGCGTTGCGGTTTTGATATCGCGTTGCGATTTTGTTGGTCATTTTGGCAAATCAAAAAAAAGTTGATTAAAATCGTATATTATAAGACATTTTCGGTCACTGACGCTTTTTTCTCTTCCAGAAAAGCTTGTAGATGACCAAAATGGCTTGTTCATGATAATTCATTTATTGCAAGGTAAGTTGGATTGCACCACGAAAGAAAGAGGGTTAAATAGTTTTATGATGTTTGGAGCATTATCATCCTTATCTTTGCTAATGTTTCTTCCAAGTAAAACACCAAAATCGTTGGCACCAACAGCATGTTGATAGTAGTTTACACTGCTTTCATGACACTTGGTGCTTTCGTCTCTGGTCTCGCCAGTGTCATCTTCTAAGCTCCAATGCTTCTCTTTGATTCATCTTCTGTTGGGATGATTCTAACCTGAGCAAGATCAAATTTATGTACCCTATGAGTTCTTTCCCGAGAAACTAAATTTCGTTTTATGTAAACTCTTGCAGGCTTCATCAAATACGAGTATTCTTGATTCCGACACCATTCGCCCTAGTCCTTGTGGCAGCAGGTGCAATTGAAGTCATGGATACAACCTGAATCATGGACTTCATTACACTGGCAAGTGTCCACGGCCGCCGTTGTTGCTATTTTCTTGTAATTTGCTTTGCTCAAATCTCATTTGCATCCTTACCCCCGACGTCCAATTATTATTATAATCTACCATTAACCTTCAAACTCTATAATTGTAAGTGCACCAGAGGAGGACGTTGCGAGTCGTAATTTACTTGAACATGTAATAGGTAGGAACCAAAAGGGTTGAATCCATTGTAAGTGTATTCTCTATCTCGGAAGAATCAATTATACGAATCATAATTTTTTTTAATGAAAAATTGAAAAGAAACAAAGCCTAGGAACGCCTAAACTATTGTTCCATCCATCTGGAGGAGAATGAAAGAGTCGAAGGCCAAAACGTAGGTTCCAAGCTAACTTCGCCATGGAGTCTGCGATATTACCTTCCCGAAGCACATGAGTAAACTCCACCTGCCAATCACGTCTAATAAAATCCACGATATGTGGAATCAAAGTAGAAACCAACTTCATATTTGTACCTTGCTGCAGTATCATCCATGCATCCTTGCTATCCGTCTCAAGAACTACAAGTCTTAACCCCAAATCCCAAGCTACTTTGAGGCCTTCCAGAACTCCCAAAGTTCTGCATCCAACACCGAACACACTCCTATGTCTTTCGTAAAACCACCAATCCATTCCCTAGAAGCATCACGAATAACTCCACCACAAGTTGTTAGACATGAAATAGGTCTCTAAGCACCATCTGTATTGATCTTAAATAAACCTGGTGGCAGAGGACTCCAACAAACTGCTCGGTCCATCCTATTTGGACCATTTACCGACGTTAAGAGTAAGTCCCGAGCATGACCAGCCTCCACTACTAAGCGACGACTACGCTGCAGAAAGTCCACCCTGGTTTCCAAAATTCATCAAGCAGAAAGTAGCAGTCTTATCAATATGAAGGCAATATATATATATATATATATATATATATATATATATATACACACACAATCAATAACTATCACCAGTTGTTTTCTTCATCCAACCGGAGATGTTTTAGCTGCGAGAAGAATGAGAGCTCGCCAGTGGTAACTTGTCCTTGGCTTCTTGTACTTCTGCACAAAGGCCCCGATATCTATTTCCCCGTAAAGAAGCTGCATGTTCACTATTTACGATTCCTCTTCTGTTGCATTCATTGCATCTAAAAGGAAGTAAAACCATCTTTAAGTACTCGCATCTAAACCCCAGTAACGTAGGTAATATACTATTAATATGTACCTTGAAGCCTATGCATAACGATGCAGGGGAGTAGAACTTCAGAGTTTCTTCTTTCTGTCTCTCGAGCTCGTTTAGTTTTTCCTGAGCTGCCGCCAAGTGGTTCAGAAAATTTCACCTGGTTCCTTAGCTCTATTATTTGTGGTTCTTTATCCAAATTGTTCCCTGTTTATTGAAAACATATAAATGTGAAGTTGTCTCCCTATGCACATTTCTATATCTGTGAAATTTATAGCATTATCATAATACTAAATGGAATAAGAACTCACTAGCAAGCTGCATAGTCTCCTTGTGAAGTTTATCTCTTATCTGGCAAAAAAGTTAATTCCGAACGAGTAAGAAACCGACAAAAACGATGAGATTCAGAGTAGCGACGAACATGATTTTCGTGCCGCACGCATGCCAGTTCGAATAAATGGTTCTAAAACATAGCTAAAATGCAACCCCATCATGATGCCAACAAGGAACAGCAAATATAACACAAAGCAAGGCCACGAGTTAGCGAAGAGCCATGCTCGGATCGAAAAGCAAACCTAAACAAAAGAAACAACGGAAAACCTAAAAGATCTGGCCAATCGAAATTAACAGGCTAAACACTATAGGTTTGATCCTAAATAAGTTTAAACATAAGATTATCCCCGAGGTCAATATGACCACGGGATCATCTTCGAGTCAGTATTTCGAGTTAAGTCTTCCTTTCCATGTCTATTAAACAGGAACATAATCCATTGAATTCCAAAACATCAGAACCTTATTAACCTATCTCCTCACCAGTATCAGTTTGAACATGCAGGTTCCAAATAATAACTTACCTTCATAGTCAGCATTTGGACACATGAAATGACAACAGCAGCACATGAAAATTGAAAACTAGCAATATCAATCAACAATCTGAATAGCTAGTATCATAAAGATTTTGATATCGGGGTCGGTTAATCAATACCCCTTGTTATGCTATGGCCTAAAAGCTAAACCAGTAATCTTTGAGACCGAAGAAGTGAACTAGCTTCGAGAACCAAGCGACCTCCTTCCCTCGTCTAAACACCAAAACAGAGAACCAAGAAGCCAAACCAACCCCTAACACGGCCAAAGGCCTCCGACTCTTCGGCTACCTCGCCTCCTCGACGACGGACGATGGACGACTAAGGTAAACGAACCACTCTACTCTCTTTTACTCTCTCTGGTTTGGTTCGAAAAACCCCAAGAAAAATTAGCACTCAAATGTAAAAAACCAGCATTTTTCCTTATATTGCTTCCTTTCCCTTTTTTAATCCCCGGGAGCCGAACCCCTTACAAAATATTATTGTGAGTTTTTATAATACCCCTGTTACAAACGAAAATCCAAAGGCAACATTTTTACAATTTCATTTAGTTTGTTTGCTTGCATGCGTGGCTGCTGATGAGCATTCGGGGGGGCCACTTGGGTTGCATGAGCGGGCTGTTAGGAGGACCGACTGATGTGGAGAAGTGCCTGTGAAGGGGACCAGCGGTGCACATTGTTGATGAAGCATTCGGGACCCCCTTGCTTGGAGGCTTACTGGCGGTAGAGCGATTTTAGTTCCAACATGAGAGCCAAGAATATTCTAAGTAATTGGAATATTTAAAAATTTGATGACAAGTTTAGAATGAGAATCATAATTTATAGATTAAATTAAAATATTTAAAAGTTTAAAAATCAATGTAAACCGAGAATCATAATTTGAAGACGCGTGATATAAATAATTCAATTTAGAAAGATTATCGTTAATAAATATGGTAAGTTTTTTCTTCTATAATAAGATAATGGTTTTTTTATTCTAAACTATGTTCGAGGATTGTTTCAATCATTTAACTTTTAAAAGTTATGAAAGAGATATTAAATTCGTTAAATCATTACTAAATGATCACTATAAAATTATAATAAGTGTAAATTTTCAATATTTCGTAAGAATTTAATAAAATTTAATAACTATTTTGAAAGTTAAATAACCCAAAAAGATCATGTACGTATAGTTCAGTGACCTATGATATATTTTACCCAATAATAATGAAATGAAAAGAAAGTAGCGGTAACGCTCTGAAAAGGCGCGTAAGGTAACGTAACCTGGCTGTTAATATTATTACATTCCTTACCATTGAACGTCCATGCAAGAAAACACCCTGGACTTTCTCTTCGTTATTCACAGTCTCCAAGTAACGCAAAAGAAATCAAATTCGAAAATCGTATAGCTGTTTTCTAGAAAGGTCTCAATTTTTCCACTGGAAACCATTGGCTTTCGATTTTGAAATTCAGTGAATCATTGCTGAGGTAATAGTTCCGGGAGGAGGATCAATGGCGGTGACGTTAACGGCGTCGATGGTTTCGTTGTACGTTGGGGATTTGCATCCCGATATCACTGACGGAACACTCTTCGATGCTTTCAATTCGTTCAAAGGAATATCCTCTGTCCGTGTTTGTGGAGATTCATCCACGGGAAGGTCTCTTTGTTATGGCTATGTTAACTTCAGTTCTCTCGAGGATGGTGCGTAAGATTTGTTTTTTTTTAAAAATAATTTTTTCAATATATTCACTGCTTTTCGTTTGATTTATGTTTCGTGTTTGATCTTTCAATATGTTCTGAGAGTGTTCGAAAAAAGTAATTTAAGAAAATTCAGTCTTTTTGAGTTAACTTTTATGTATGTCCATGTTTCTCTGCTATAATATGACCAGCACATTATGCAATGGAGAAGATGAATCACAGTTCGATTCATGGGAAAATGATTAGGGTGGCATGGTCACTTCGAGATCCTGATGCAAGAAAGAGTGGAGTTGGAAACGTGTTTGTCAAGGTACAAAACAAACCCTTTTTGTTCTTTTAACTGATATAATCTGAAATTCATTGGATTTATTGTACTTTTCTTTTCAGAATCTAAGTGAATCAATCGATAGTGTGGGGTTGCAAGAGTTGTTTCAGAGGTTTGGGAATGTAATATCCTGCAAAGCTGCAACATTTGAGGATGGGAAAAGCAAATGTTATAGATTTGTTCAATTTGAATCTGAAGAATCTGCAACTGCTGCTATTGAGAAGCTTGATAACAACATGATTGGTGATAAACAAGTGTAATATGAATTTTCCTTTAAAATATTTTTCGTTTCACTTATCTGCTAATAAAATGAATGGTTTCAGAAGTTTAATTTGTCTCTTTGGTCCCAGATTTGTTGGGAAATTTATGAAAACGTGTGACAGGATTTTGCCAAGTCCTGATGAAATATACAAATCTGTATATTTTACAAGGGAAAATTGCCTCCCTGGCTGTAGCAAGGGATGAAAATGGTGCCTCGAGAGGTTTCGGCTTTGTGAACTTCGAATGTCCCGATGATGCCAAGCGGGCAATGCAGTCAATGAAAGGATCAAAACTTGGTAGCCTTTCTTTTACTATGTTTCACGAACATGATATTTCAATGATATTTTTTCTGATCCAATATTTTTGGCCAAATATATTCAATCATAATTCAAAGAAAAATATAAATTCAATTAAAATCAAATCATTAGAATCATTTCTAATTTTCTCAAATGTGTATTCAATGGCCCCAATGCGATCATAAGTTCATGTTTCCCTAGGAGGAGGATGCTGATGGTGGTGACATTTTCTTTGACCGGAGCAAAGTAGAAGACGATGGCAGTGAGTATGGCAATCATAAGTTCAATTTCCGGCAAGAACCACAAATTGAATCATTAATCTGATATCAAAGGTGAAGCTAATTAGATTTGCTTTGCTTTTGCTGTTTTGTAATTCACCATCATTGTATTATTAGGGAAACCACGGTAGATGCTGGGCATCTTTCTTTTATGATTTCTACACAGTGAGTTGTGAAGTAGCTTCGAAATTTAAGTGCAAATTTGATTTTAATTTCAACCATTTTGAAGGTTTTAATTATGTTTTTTCAGCTGTAGGTACTGGTTGATCATGGCTTGAACTGAACTTACTTCCTTAGGCTTGTAAAGTTATTATCCATTCCTCTGGCTGCAATTACTCAGATGACTTTGGAAATCAAAGTTTACCTTCTTCTCCATAAAGCAATGACTGGGACAGTCTATCATTTTTCTTATACAAGAAGTTAATGTTCTCTTAATATATATAGATTGATTGATGTGAAACGTAGAAAGTGATGGGAAGTAGACCAAGTATGACATGACTCGGTTATGGGGAAAAAATATCAACCATAGAAGCTAGCCCCGACTATACGCATTGAACTAAAGCGTGGAAAATGCAAATCATAGCCAGTACCCACATGACTTTGAAAGAAAACTTGGACCAATTGACGGGAGATAGAATAGGATAATATCAGAGTTTGAGAACTATTATTTCTTGTTGATGAGCAAAGCCTTCTCAAATCTATAACCCAAAAATTTTCCTTCTCATAATTCATCATGTCATTGTTACCTTCAACTTTATCATGTATTTCTAGAAAGAATATAATGTTTTTTTGAGTTTTAGAGGTGAAGATACCCGCAAAAACTTCACAGATAATCTCTATGATGCTCTAAATCGAAGTGGAATTATCACTTTCAGGGATGATCCAAAGATGGATGCAACTCTTGATCTTTCATCCTCTTCTTCATCAGCTGCTTCCACCAAATGTGGTTCAACATTAACCTTTCCAAACTGGAAAGTGTTCTTTATATGCCTCAAAACACTGACATCTCTCTCTTCTTCTTGCTTGTTTAGCACTTTCTTCATTCTTGGAATTGGGCAACTCTTAGCTTTGATTTGATACACATAATTTAAACAATAAATGTCAAATGTGGGGCTCCATAATTGTGACCCTGCTGAGATTATCCTCCGTAGAATCCAACTTTTACTTTGACAAAGTCCAAGTAAACACATCTGACATGTGCAACAGCCAACAGATGACTGACCATTGAAGTTCATCTCATTTCTGTTTTGAACAATCTGTTGCCAATGGATCATTGGTTTCATTTTCACAACATTTATCCTCAAGTAAAATGGACATAAATGTCAATGGTGGGGCTCCATAATTGTGACCCTTCTGAGAGTATCCTCCGTACAATCCAGACTTCATTGAAAAGTCTCCTCTATCATTTTCTTATGCAAGAAATTAATGTTTTCTAAATATATAGGTTGAATAGGATAATGTCAAAGTTGGACAACTGTTTATTTTCAACTCTACCTCTAGTTGATGTACAAAGCCTTCTCAAGTACAATATTGCTTCCTCAGTCCTCACTCTTTGGTATCATTAACATGGCTTATTTCCTCTCACTTCTCTCAACTCTCTTCTTCCTCATAGTGTCACCTTCTTCTTCACAACCCACCCAGTTCTTCT